GGGAGGCTGCCTGCCTGCTTCCCCCTCTTTAACTTACCTGTTACAGAACACCATGTCTCCCCTCCGTTCCCCTCAACCATTCCCATCTGTCCCCTTTCTGGTAAACAACCACTTTCAACCCTTTTAGCTTATGTTTTGTTCTTTACCTCCACGTCTCTTGATAGCATACATTCGTGCTTTTGATTTTTCACTTTTAGACATTATCTTTGACATTCCAACATCGCTTCCTCCCACAGTTCCTATCCTGCCCCCAAACAAATGCAATCTCATCCTCCTAGTGTAGGTATATGGTTGTTTTAACCGGACCAGGAGACAGAGTTACAATTATTCACTTATGGAAATGATACACAGGCCTAAGACACATGTTAGACTTCCTTAATTGTCCTTTCCATACATATTGATGTTTTTGAGGGGTTTAATAATTACCTGATGGTTTCATTTTCTTACTTTCCATGATCTTCTAATTTCATAAATTTACCCCCCAACTCTCCCCCAGTTAAGTGAATCTTTTCTCAGTCCCTTCACACTCGTGATGGTTGTTGTCTAAGTCCTTTTCTTGGTGCAACCTCCCCTCAGTGTTCCCACCCACACAGGCCAGCCTGCTCCTGTCTGGGCCCACTGCCAGCTGTCCTGTAGACTCCTCTCCCTGCCCTTCTCCCTGGTGACTCCCTTTCCCTTCTCAAGGGTTGATGCCCTTGTTTCCCAGATCCAAGTCTTCCTCTATTTTAGTATACTCCCTTCTTTTCCTGGAGCACATTGCTGTACTTCCCAAAAAAGGGCTCATGAGAGGAAAATTTCAGATGCCTTCATGTCTGATTTCCTTCCTATTTTTCAGGGATGGGTTCGGGAGTCATGGTCACCCCCGGCAGGAACAAGTAGGGTCACAGGAAGATCCCCACCAAGGAGCAAGATGACCCTCTAGTGCATGAAGAGTCTGAGTCATTCTTATCCTGATTTCTTAGGAAAATAAAATAATATCAGATCCTGAGGTCTTGTCTGATTCTTAGAGCCTATGCAAGTCCTTGTTCTGAAGGAATGGGTCATCTTGGACAAGCATCCTCAGGACTCTGGGTCTCAATTTCCTTGCTTGGGCAATGGGCTGAATTGATTGCTTTTCTCACATCCCTAAGGAAAGGCTGTGAGGGGAAGTACTTTGAAGCCCGGGCTCCAACAGGTATGGACTTTTTGGGCTCCTGTCATGACTGATAAAGCCTTGAATGACTGGAATACTTATTCCCTTTTCACCCTGTAATCTAGGGTTTCCTCCCACCTCCCACCTCCTTCCCTTGTTCTGCAACAGAGCCCAGGTGAGCACCTACAGAGCCTTTGCCCTCTTGAGACACCCTTTCAGCTCCAGGACTGGTCTGGTGGGGACTGCAGGACAGCCTCTGCACGAGGTGGCCCCAGGTTCCCAACAACTCCCTGTACCCCTCTGCACTCATTTACCTCTGCCCACAAAGCTCTTCCTGGGTTCCAGCTGCTACAATCTGTTCCACATGTTATCAGTTCTTGGGCAGCATTTGAGCAAGCAGAGTGGCAGGGCGTGGGTGGCTGAATTCAAGGTGAGGGAGCTAGAATCCTCTACTGGAGGTTCTCTATTCTTCAAGAGGAGGAGAGACCCCGTTTTAAAGGAGAGCAGGTGGGTAAGAACCCAGGAGGCTATTTTCAGTTCAGGCACCATCCTCCCTGGGACCAGCTAATTGACAAGCTGGTCTCATTAGGAGATGGTAAGAAAAAAAGAGAAAAAAATCCACCTTGACTTTGTCATTGTATAATTCTTTCCAAAGGCATCCTCAGCCCCAGGCTTTTCTGGGCATAGAATTGCATGTTTAGTTTTGTTAAAAAAAAAAAAAAAGAAACAACGACCATACACTGTGGAGAGTGGCGCACCAGTCTACATTCCCTCCAGCAATGAATGAATCCAGTGTTTGCTGTTATTGCTGCTTCTTATTTTATCCATTCTGATTTTGGTTTTAATTTGCATCTCCCTAATGGCCAGTGATGTTGAACATCTTTTCCTGTCTTTATTTGCCACCCACATATCCCCTTTAATGCAATTTCTGTTGATGTCTTTGTCCAGTTTCCTACAGCATAGTTTGATTTTTTAAAATTGATGGATGGTAGTTTTCTTTAGGTGGTCAAGATACCCGTCCTTTGTCGGGTCTGTGGTTTGCGCTGGTAAACTTTTGAGTCATGCATATCTGCTTTTCTTCCTCTTCTTCGGGGATAGATTTTGGACTTGAGCTCGCCTCTGGCCGGGAAAGCCGAATCTTTGGAGCAGGCTGCCAGGCCCAGGAGACCCCACCCTGAGCCAGCGCAGGGGAGAGTTAGCGCCATTCCTGTCCTCATTTCTCGGAAGCAGGCCGAGAAATATAAGGTCCTGGGCTGGGACCTCCTCTGACTCTTCCAGCCCTGGGAAGACCAGCTCCATCCCTGAGAAGCCTGGATTCTAGTGCAGCGGGAGGATTGGGTGTCCTGGGGCCGGCCTCCTAGGTCGGGCCTCACTTTCCTTCTAGGGCCCGGATGATCAGACCCTCCGTGCAGCTGCGGCGAGGAAAGCTGTGGGGGAACGTGCTCTGTAACCAGAGAGCGCGACGCAAACGTTAAGGCCCTGGTGGCACCACCGGGGATGTCTCCATAAACCCCAGTTGGAACGGCTGACGCCGCCCTCATTGCCGCCCTCATTGCCATCTCTACCCCAATTGCCGGAGAGGAAGGACGGTTGAGTCGGGGTTGCAGCCCGAGTGGCAAGAGAGGGAGGAAAAGTGGGCAGAATTGGAAGAAAGAGGGGAAAAGACGAACCCGGCGGGGAGGGGGCCGGCGACTTGCGAGCGCTGGGCCTGGCCTGCGACTCACTTCCGGAGCCCAAACGTGGCGGGTCCCACCCGGGCGCCCAGGTCCCGCGCCCGCTGCCAGGACTCCTCCGCCACGTTGTCAGAAACTGGCTAAAACGCACCCGCACTCAGTTTCCAGCCTGGCGGCCCCCACCCCCTTCTGTCAGTTTCTAGTTGCTCTGTACCCAGCCCCCATCCCTCCTTTTCATCCTAGTTGGCCTGGGCAGCCACTTCCTTAGCACCGTTCTTGGCTCCTAAGGCCTGGAGTCATTAAGTCACGTGTCGCCTTTTCACACCGGAATCTGAGGTTCCAGTATCTGCTTGTCATCATTCTCTGACTCCCGCCTGGCGCGGCAGTTCCGTAGCGGAATCCGCGGCCTCAATAAGCTCCCAAACAGGGCTTTGCTGTCCTGGTGCTGCTCCGGGAAGGCTGTCTGCCCCGGGCAGGGCTGGGGGGACTGGCAGCACAGTGCGCGCGCCTCGCCTCCCCTCGCAGGTCCCAAACGAGTCACCTCCTGCGGGCACTTTGGCCCCAGCAGAGGGTTGTCTTGGGGTCCCTCGATCAGCCTCGGGGCGGGCATCGTCGGCTGGGGGTCGTTATCTGGAGAGCAGAGGGGACCCCAGGCCCTGATGGAGGAGCTACACGAAAGCCGGGAGGCCCGTCGTCGTCGTCGTCGTCGTCGTCGACTCGTTCCCTGGGACCGGTTTACTGACACGTTGACACGTTGACCTCGGTAGGACCAAGGCCAGGGAACGTGTCTTTTTCTTTACAATTCTGTTCGAAGACAACATTAGCCCTCAGCTTCCTGGGCCCGGGAGCCGCCTTGCTGGCGCGGCGTCCGTCTGGGGAAGCAGACAGCCTCTTGGGCTCGGTCCTTCCCGGAAACAAGCGGCCGAGACTCCTCTCTGGCAAAGCTGCGCACACGCGGTGGTCAGATATCAACCAAAACCAAAACAAACGAAAGACCCCTGCTCCTCCAATTCCACAATCAAAACAGATTTAGAGTCCATCTCTCAGCAATTGATAGAACTAAAAAAACTATCAGTGAAGAGAGAATCCGGAAAAGAGTTATCACCCATCTTGATCTAATTGTCCTTTGAAGACCATGACATCCAGCAATTGAAGAATAAACCTTTTCGAGGGCACAAGGTAGATGGGGCAATGTACTGTGCTAGAAGGCACATCTTAATAAATTTAAAAGTATAAAAATCATGCAGGGTGTATTGTCTGAGTATAATGTAATGAAATTAGAAATTATACCACTTGGATATAGTACAGGAAGCCCCAAATATCTGGAAATGAACGCACTTTTATTTAATTCGTGGGTCAAAGACAAAATCACAAAAGAAGTACAAAAACATTTAGAATTGAATGATAACAATAATACAACATATGAAAATTTGTGGAATGCAGCTAAAGGAGTGCTTTTAGGGAAACTTAAAGCTTTAAGTATTTGGATTAGAAAAGAAGAAAGATCTGAAATCAGTGATGTAAGTTACACCTTAAGTAACTAGAAGAAGAAGAGCAGGAACAAAGTAAGCTAAAGGAAGGAAAGAAAGACGAGAAATCAGCTAACTAGAAAACAGGCAGCAGCAGAGAAAACTAACAAGGCAAAACTTTGTTCTTTGGTAACTTGACAAACCTCAAAGCTGACTAATCAAGATAAAAATAGGGGGCCGGCCCCAGGACCCAGTGGTGAAGTTCATGTGTTCTGCTATGGAGGTTCCCCGTTCACTGGTTCGAATTCTGGGCACAGAATTACTCACCACTCATCAGGCTATACTGTGGCTGCAGCCCATGGAGAAGAACTAGAATAACCTACAACTAGGATATACACCTATGTACTGGGGCTCTGGGGAAGGAAAAAAAAAGAGGGAGATTGGCAACAGGTGTTAGCTGAGGGCCAATCTTCCTCACCAAAAGAAAAAGAAAAAGAAAAAGAGAACAAAAATCACCGTATTAGGAATGAAAAAGGGATTACTACCACAGATACTACAGACATTAAAAGGATAATGAGAGAATGCTATGAACAACTCTATGTCAACTTCGATGAAACGGACAAATTTGTTTTGTTAAATTTCAACTTAAATTAAAACAAAACGATAAAATGGAAAAAAGAAAAAGAAATTTAGGGACAAATATTACTTGGGACTACAGAGGCAAAAATCTTTTAGCAAAACAAACTAATAGGATATAAGTTTAATATACAAAACTGTCACCAAATATGTTATATATAAGCAACAAATAATTGGAAATACAATTTAAATATCATTCCAAGTACACTAGTGCCAGAAATCATCAAATTCTTAGGAATAAATCTTAGAAACAATGTCTCAGACCTCAGAAAACCAAGACACTGAAAACCAAGAAACGCTGCTGAGAGGAAGAAGCACAAATAAATGCACCCCCTTTTCCTAGATAGTGAGGCTCAACGTTGCTAAGATGGCAATTCTCCCCAAATTGATCCATAGATCCAACAAAATTCCAAACAAAATTCTAGGAGGCTTTTGGTAGAAATTGATGAGCTGATTTAAAAAATTTATATGCAAACATAAAAGACCTAAAAAATATTTAAAATAACCAAAGCAATTTTTAGAAAGATGAACAAAGTTAACTTATTTTTAGGTAAAGCAAAAAAAGCTGAGATAATTAGTCGTGTTTCTGAACAGTTACACTTGCAAAATTTCCATTGATTTTCTTCCCATGATTCACTAAACAGAGGCATATGTAACCACTTTGGGAATAGACAGGAGAATTGGGGGGGAAAGTAGAAAGTCAAACACTGGCTTCCTTCACAGGAGCCTCAGAGGAAATGCCCTTTTAGAGCAGGTTCTAGACTGGAGGTGAGACACACAGAAGAGGAGGTCACAGAAGCATCGGGGAGAGGAAGAGAGCTCTGGTCCATCATAGGTAAAGAAGGGCCACATGGAGCAGCAGGCCTTGGAAAGAGGTTTAGGGCCAAGTCTGAGAGAAAAAAACCCAGGCAGAGCTTGGTCTTCAAGGTCAGATTCAAAGGGAAACTGCCCTTCCATTATGTCTCAGTCTTTTTTCCTACCTTCTCTCCCCCAAGCCTCGTGGTCCCTAAACGTCCCAGAAAGCGCTGGGCCAAGGTAAAGCATTTAGAGTTCCAGAAAAATTTCACCTCCCCATCGGAACCCCTTAAGCTGCGGGGAGGGTTTCCTGATCGATGCCTTGCTCTCTCCCGTCCTTAGGGACAGTGCTGTGGACACATCCCCAGCCTCAGAGGAGGTCCAGGGAGGCTGGCCCTGGTGCCTGCACCAAGCGGCATCTCCTTCCAGTTCTCCAGAGATCTATGGAGTGATTCCAGGCACGTGCTCTCCAGGTAGGTCTGGAAGCTCACTGCCAACCAGGTTGGCTTCCACTCTCGGGTCCCGCCTCTGCTCCAGAGCGAGGGTCCCTGTTCTGGAATCTGCTCAGAGGTAGGCAGGCAGCTCACATCCGCGCACAGGCTCCGATTCCAGATCCCCGGGCACCCGCCGCGCTGAACTCAGGCAGGAGGTGTGAGACCCTGGCCCCCCGCACCGCGGGATCCTGGCTCCAAGACAGTAATGAGCCAGAGCAGCTGTCAGGTACTCGGCACTGTAGGGAGGTACAAACACTGGTGTGTTCTCCCCTCAGGTCTGAGGGGCCAGTGGGGTCCCAGTGGGTCCCGGCCAGGGAGACAGATGGCCCGTTGTCCAGGCAGTTGCCTTTGAAGTATCTGGGTCTGCGAGTCCTGGCCCTTCAGGGTGCTATGGAAACCTCTCAAGAAGTGGGGCTTTTGGGGTAGAAAGGGTGACAATGACTCAGCTCAACCTCCTGCAGGCTTTGTCCCAATGCAGGTTCCTCAATGTGTGTACGTGACTGCACTGAGGGTGGGGTACTCAAAGTGAAAAGAAGGAAACTGAACAAGGGGGAAGTTGAGACCAGGGCGTAGCCAGGTGGCATAACTGTTAAGTTTGCGCCCTCTGCTTCCCAGGCCTGGGGTGTCCAGTTCATCCCAGCACGGACCTACACACCACTCCTCCAGCTGGACCTACACACCACTCCTCCAGCCGTGCTGTGGCCGGATGCTACATACAAAATAGAGGAGGATTGGCACAGATGTTAGCTCAGGGACACTCCTGTCTTCCTCCCTCCCCAAAGGCAGTTTCACTCCCCTTCCCACACTCACTCACCTGGGTCTCTGTCAGGACCAGCATCAGAGGAGCAGGTGGAGGTTTTGGGCCCCGGTGATCTGGCGCCTCTGGACCTCTTGGAGTTGAGGGAGAACTCTGGGTACCTTCGGGCTCCTCTGTGAAAGTAAACTTCCTCTAATTAACTTCTCTAGAAAGCATACCCAACGGAAACAGAAATTGGCAAGTGTCATAGGTCTCCAGGCAGAATAACCTGAAAAGGGGTTGTTGGAAAAGAAAAAGAGAAACTTCTGAAAAAGCCCTGTGTAGAGGGGCATTCTCCGGTGCTCCCTCCCACTGTTTCACCCCACTCCACCACCTTAGTCATCTTCTGCCTCCCAGAGATCGCTCTCAATGCTGGAGATGCTGAGATCTCAAACTGGAGACGTTTGGACCTTTCCATGAGCCCTCTCCTCTGCCACACGGGGCACTCCTGCCGGCTGTCTCCCTGGTTCCTAGAAGAGAGAGTGACACCAGCTTGTCTCTCAGCCCACTTTTCTTCTTTCTTTTCTAGAATCCCTTACCCTATGCAGGACCGACAAAGGGCTCAGAGAAGCTTTTAACTGAGCCTTCTCGTCAAAGTCTTTGGTATTCCCCTGTGCATTGTGCTTCTAGAAAGACTCTTTCCCCCACAGAGCCTGAGGACAGACAGGAAGCACCGTTGGAAAACGGAAGGTGGTGGGATGAAGGCTTCTTCTTTAATTCTGGGTACCACTAATGGCTGAAGGCATTGGATAGTGGTTCACGTAAGACTGTTTTTATTGTTGTTTGTTAATTTCTGTTTTGATAATCATATCCCCTAAAGAACCAGGAGCCCCAGGTAATTTCCGTGAGAAGGATTGTGGCCACTTCTCATATGTCAAAGTACCTTTTAGTTGGCTTCACAAAGCACAACATAATGTAACTGAGTTCACTTTGTCAAAGAATAACATTTGTCTGACTTTGGGATTGAAGTAAATCATGATTGTTCTTAGATCCATGGATCAGAGACCAATCACTATGGACAGTCCTTTAGGAAATAACTTATTCACAAAGTTTAACAAGTAGTGTGTACGAATATTAACCAAAGTGTGTTTTTATCTATGTTACAAATAATGAAAAATTCCCTAACTAGTTCCAATGCATTGTCTTTACAGATATGTGTTTTTATAATAGGTTTATTGAGATGTAATTCATATACCATGCAATTCATCTATCTAAAGTATACAATGCAATGATTTTTAGTATCTTTATAGAGTTTTGCAACCATCATCGCTATCAAATTTAGAACATTTCATCATCCCAAAAGAAACTCTGTACCTATTAACAGTTGCTCCTCCCTCCTATTTATCTCCAAATCTCCTAGCCCTAGGTAACTATTAGTCTACTTTCTGTCTCTATGGATTTGCCTGTTTTTGATAGTTCATATAAATGGAATCACGCAATGTATGGTCTTTTCCAGCTGGCTTCTCTCACTTAGCATAGTGTCTTCAAGGTTCATCCATGTTGCAGCATATGTCAGGACTTCATTTCTTTATTTTGCCAAATAATATTCCATTACATTGATTTACCCTATTTTATTTATGAATAAATCAGTTGATGGACAGCTGGGTTATTTTCACCTTTCGGCGATTAGGAATAATGATGCTATGAACATTTGTGCACAAGTTCTCGTTTGAACACACGTGCTCAATCTCTCAGGTGTACACCTAGGAGTGGAATTGCTTGGTCATCTTACTCTAAGTTAAATTTTTTCTTCCAAATTTTTTTATTGTGGTAAAATATGCAACATAAAATTTACCATCTTAATCATTATAAATGAACAGTTTACTAGTATTAAATACATTCATAATGTTATGCAACTATCACTGCCATCCATTTTCATTTCTCTTTTCATCCTGTAAAACTGAAACTCTTTACCCATTAGGCAATAGCTCCTCATTCACCCCCATCCCCAGTCCCTGGCAACTACTATTCTATGTTCTTTTTTTTGTGTTTTTTCTTTTAGGACTATTAGCCCTGAGCTAACATCTGCTGCCAATCCTCCTCTTTTTTGGCTGAGGAAGACTGGCCCTGAGCTAACACCCATGCCCATCTTCTTCTACTTTATATGTGGGACGCCTACCACAGTATGGCTTGTCAAGCAGTGCCATGTCTGCACCCAGGATCCGAACCGGTGAACCCTGGGCCGCTGAAGTGGAATTTGTGAACTTAACCGCTGCGCCACTGGGCCAGGCCCATACCATTCTATGTTCTATGTCCTTTGACTAGTCTAAGTACCTATATAAGTGGAATCATAGAATATTTGTCTTTTTGTGACTTCCTTATTTATCATCACCCAAAACTAGAAGCAACCGAGATGTCCTTCAATAGATGAGCAGACAAATGGTGGCCTATATCCACACCATTAAGCAGAAAACTATTAAGGGAACAAAAGGAGTGAACTATTAATCCATGTGACAACATGGATGAATGTTAAGTGCATATTGCTAGGCGAAAGAAGCCAGTCTGAGAAGGCTACATGTTGTATGATTCCATTTATGTGATGTTCTCGAAGAAGCAAAACTATGGAGATGGAAAAAATGATCAGTGATGGCCAGGGGTTATGGAAGGGGAGAGGGTTGACTAGGTATAGCATGGGGAATTTTAGGGCTGTGAGCTATCCTGCATGGTACTGTAGGGACAGATGGAAAACTATCCATGTATCAAAACCATAGGACGTTATAGCATGAAGAGTGGATCTTAATGTATGCAAATTTAAAAAGGTCAACCAGGAGGGTGGGGGATCCCAGGGTGGAATACAGACTGTGATAAAAGCATCCAACTGTATTACAAATGTCTGACCTCACCTCACTGAAGGTGGTGGGGAAAGAGACAATGCCTAAGTAACTTTGGGAATAAGTGGAAACAATAAGACTAAAGACAAAAGGAACTGTACACAAGCACTGTTTTCTAGTTGGTAAAGTTGTTTTCCTCCAGGGGACAGGTTAAAAATTCTGAAAGAGTTGTATATGAATATTGGGATTGACAATAAGAAAAAGGATGGTGGACTGTGGGAGCCAAGTTTCTTACTGTTGATATGGGAGGTTACAGACAAGCAAGGGTGGAAAAGCTAGAGTGAACCCCACAGTGCTGACTTAGAGCTGGAGGCCTCAGTTGGAATTATGTTTAATTTAATATATACGTGTATATGCATGCCTCATATACACATATAGTAAAAATTTTAGATGTGTGTATACATGGATTATTATATCCACACATATTTACCAGTTTTACCCACTGAGAAAGGCTGAAGCAATGATACTTGAATAGCAACAAGCAACACAGTGCCCAGAACTTGGTTTCTAATATTATTCTCTAATGAAAGGAATCTAGGTTCCTTGGAGAAACGTCTGGTTCTGGGGCTGGATCAGGGAATATACATGATAAGTCTAGAGCATTTAGTAAGCGCCAGAAAGAAAGAAAGTCCTCAAAAAATAAAAGCATGGGGATATGTCAAAGGGACTCAGGAGACAACTGAAAGAAGTCCCAAGGGACAAAATGAACAATTTTACACAAAATGAGGTAATACTAGATTATAGGCCAAAGTATAAAATAAATACTCATGAGTGCATATTGATACAAATAAATGACTGAATGAGAAGAATAGATGTCTCCCATATAGAAGAATCCAAATAATTTATGTAGATACTCTGCCCTCAAGAAGGTGGAGCAAAACTTCCTGCCCACAGTGTCTTCCTTCAGCAGAATATGGAGGGGGCAGTGAAAAGTAGCTTTATAGTGGGGGAAATGCGGGAAACACTAGCCTGGTATAGTGAGATGAACGGTGACCCCTCAAAGAAATGTCCATGTCCCAATCCCCAGAACCTGGGAATGTTAAATTATTTGGAAACAGAGTTTTTGCAGATTTTATTAAGTTAAAGATCTTGAGATGAGGAGATCATCCCAGACTATTCAGGTGGGCCTTTATCCAATGATGAATATCCTTATAATAGAGACAGACATAAGAGACAGTGATACGAAGAAGGAGGCTGAGACTGGAGTAATGTGGCCTCAAGCCAAGGAATGCTGTGCAGCTGCCAGAAGCTAGAAGAGGCAAGGGATGGATTCTCCCGAGAGCATCCAGAGAGAGGACAGGGCTGCCAACACCTTGGTTTCAGAATTCAAGCCCCCAGCACTGTGAGAGAATGATTTTCTGTTGTTTAAGTCATGAAACTTGTGGTAATTTGTTTCAGCAGTGACAGAAAACTAGGACACCAGGTGCTCAAGGTCAACATCAACAATGATAAATCAAGTTGACATTATATACCTTTGATACGTTGTGTTGAGAATGGCACTTCGTCTTGTCCCCAAACTCATAATCCCTGTCTAATCATGATCAAAATTTATAAAGCCACTTCAAAGAACATTCTATAGTATATCTGACCAGTACTCCTAAAAAATGTCAAGGTCATCAAAAACAAGGAAAGTCAAGAAACTGTCACAGTCAGTGAAGCCTAAGGGGACATGAAGGGGACCAAATGTAATGTGGTCTCCTGGATAGGGTCCTGGGACAGAAAAAGGACATCAGGGAAAAACCAATGAAATCCAAATGAAGTATGCAGTTCAGTTAATAATAATGTCAGTATTGCTTCATTAGGTATGATAAATGTACTATAGTACTGTCAGATGTTGACAGTAGAGGAAACTGTGGGATATATGGTAACTCTGTACTATCTTTGCCCCTTTTCTGTAAATCTAAAACTATTCTAAAATAAAAAGTTAAAAAAATAGCCCTCAGGAAAAGAATGGGGAGTAGGAGAAAATATTATCTACTTTTCTATTTACGTGGGTGTTGCCACCTCAGGGCTACAGAAAAGAGTTGTGGACAGAAGAGATGGAAACCTCAGAGACAGAGCAGGCATCCAGAGGTCTCCTCTCCTCCAGTCCCTGCCCCACCGACGAGCCAGAGCCTTGCAGAGTCCTGGGCTGCTCAGAAGGCTGCTTCTTCTTCCTCACATTGATGCCCAGCCTCCAGGTCAGCCACCGCTCCCTGGTAGACTCAGGTGTCTCCAGGGCATCAGTTAGAATCCGAGAGCAGCGCGGCGGCGCCCCCGTGTGGTCACACGGCTGAGGACGGAAGACTCGGGCTCCACTTTCGCCAGCGTAGTCAGGACCCCTCCAAGGTCTTCCTGGGCCCCCAGCAGGTGCACGGAGTTCTGTACGCATGGAAAAGCCCCTATCCCGTGTTAGGTTCGAAGTGCGAAGTGTTTCCCAAATTCCACACTGCCACAGATGTTTCCTCCCAGTTGAATGACCGTGGATTCTGCCCTCAGGGCAGAGCGTGGTCTACAGGCCATAATAGCTGGTTCCCAGGTCGGTGGTGGACCCCCACAACCCCTCAGGCTCCTGGAATGAGACCTGGACTCCCGAGTCCCTGACACTTGTTTGGCTGATGCTTCCAGGGATGAAGATGCCTCCAGGAATCAACCGGGTGTTTGGCCAACCCTAGTATGGCAGGGCCAAGGGCAGGACGTGGCGTAGGGCCTGGAGACCGTATTCTATTACAAGGAGATCCACGATGACACTGAGTGAAGCGTTCTTCTAACATCCTCCCGGCCCGCGGACCCTGAGGGAGGTCCCTCCGCGGCTCCCCAGACCTCCAGGACCCAGGCATCCAACCATCATTTCCCCGGACACCAAGGATGAACCCTGCCCCCATTGGCGTCAGACCACCTAATCTCTTGGAGCCTGAAAGGCATCCCCTCCCTAGCCAGGAGAGTCCGGTATCCGCCTCTTTCCTTTCTCTTCGTGGACCTAAGCAGACGCAGATCTGCTGTCTTGACCCCCTCAGGCTTGTCTCCCTGCCACCTCCAATTTCTGAAGTTAGAGGTCCTGCAGTCCTGGACCCAAATGTGTTTTCTGTCCCTGCCGAAGACCCAGGAGTTCGGGG